AAAAAGAAACCACGAGAATACCTCTCAAGTCATCTATCAAATTGGTACTGGATGTCCTTTTCTATCTCTTTGATGTAATCCATGCCAATTATTTCAACAAATTTGTTTTCTATGTACACAACAAAAAAGTTTGTGGGAAAACCATTCTTCGTCTTATTTTGAAGCCTAGTTTTGATAATGTTCATAACCACGAAAACAAAGCTGTACAAAATAGCTATAGTCAAAATAGAAAGCATAGGAACAAATCTAACCAATGTAATAAAAAAGAGTAAATTTTTTTTATTTACCAACGAAATATTTTAATGAAAGAATTAAAATGGATGACAACCTAATGTTACTATACCAATAGAAGAATATTTTCTAGCGTGATTCAGGTAGGTGTATGAAAAACTAAAGGTACTTATGGCAAAAATTGTCATGGGGCCAATATAGAAATAGAGATCCTTCTTCAAGTAAATATATATTTTTTGAACAAGCTTCTTCAAGTATAGTGATGTATATATATGCAAAGGTTTTCAAAAGTGGAGGTGGAGGGGGAGGGGGTGGCATTACCCTCCTAGGCCCTCTCCTAATTCTGTCAATGACTAAGGCATTGAGGTCTTTCTTTCTCTAAATTCCTAGTTTCTAGCTTTTCATATGTTCCAGGTAGTGGCTATGAAAACTATGCCTCTCCAAGTTCTTTCGCGACTCTTAAAAATGAGAATCAAGTGTCTGCTGCTATTGGTGTTGTGTTTTGACCATAGTTACCAGAAATCGCTAAATCTTCGACAACCTACCATCTAGGTACATGAATTTCAAACGGGATGGATTTGATATTCATATCACCTCAATGTCCGACCCTAAATTGTAATACCAACCTCAAATTGTTTCGCTTAGATAATGTATCACAAATAAAAAATAAATATTAATTGACTATAAATAGTATTTGAATATGTGTTAATGCATGTGTTATTATACATAATTTTATACAGTAGGAAATGGTCTAGGGTTCCAAAACGAATTGCGATCCAAAACACTGTACCAATTAAACTTAGCCCCATCGGACTGCATCTCCTTAACCCCACTCCAAACCAAATCGACCCATGATTCGAGTTANTGTACAAAATAGCTATAGTCAAAATAGAAAGCATAGGAACAAATCTAACCAATGTAATAAAAAAGAGTAAATTTTTTTTATTTACCAACGAAATATTTTAATGAAAGAATTAAAATGGATGACAACCTAATGTTACTATACCAATAGAAGAATATTTTCTAGCGTGATTCAGGTAGGTGTATGAAAAACTAAAGGTACTTATGGCAAAAATTGTCATGGGGCCAATATAGAAATAGAGATCCTTCTTCAAGTAAATATATATTTTTTGAACAAGCTTCTTCAAGTATAGTGATGTATATATATGCAAAGGTTTTCAAAAGTGGAGGTGGAGGGGGAGGGGGTGGCATTACCCTCCTAGGCCCTCTCCTAATTCTGTCAATGACTAAGGCATTGAGGTCTTTCTTTCTCTAAATTCCTAGTTTCTAGCTTTTCATATGTTCCAGGTAGTGGCTATGAAAACTATGCCTCTCTAAGTTCTTTCGCGACTCTTAAAAATGAGAATCAAGTGTCTGCTGCTATTAGTGTTGTGTTTTGATCATAGTTATCAGAAATCGCTAAATCTTCGACAACCTACCATCTGAGTACATGAATCTCAAACGGGATGGATTTGATATTCATATCACCTCAATGTCCGACCCTAAATTGTAATACCAACCTCAAATTGTTTCGCTTAGATAATGTATCACAAATAAAAAATAAATATTAATTGACTATAAATAGTATTTGAATATGTGTTAATGCATGTGTTATTATACATAATTTTATACAGTAGGAAATGGTCTAGGGTTCCAAAACGAATTGCGATCCAAAACACTGTACCAATTAAACTTAGCCCCATCGGACTGCATCTCCGTAACCCCACTCCAAACCAAATCGACCCATTATCTGAGTAACATTGGTTTTGACATAAATCTAGATATTGAGAGTGAACAGAAAATTGCATCTGGTTGAGTGTTTGAATTGACATAAAACTAATGTGTCAACAGAGTGGCTCAAAATTATTTATGAAATGACAAGAATTGAGGCCAGAGGCATGCACCTTGTGTTTTGGTTATCAGCCCCACTGGTATCACAGTCAGGCTGTTTCCCATGAGCATGACATTGAGTCGGTTCCTAGGTTTTAACTTTTAACACTGGTTTGGCTTTCGGAACCTGAGGAAAAATAAGTCTGGTTCACAGCTGTGGTGTAAGAAATCTTAAATCATTTTCTTGGTCACTTCAGTAAAAGTTCTTAAGAATCACCTTGGCTTCTCTCTCTATGTATTGGTCTTTTGGAAATTCACTTATTGAAGTGTCATTTGCGGGTTTGAGTGTTTTTTTTTTCAATTTATTTATAATTTGCAAACCAACTGTTCATGAGTTTGGGTTTTGTGAAGATGGTGGTCTTCTACAATTTATATTTCAGCTGAAGAATCAACAAATAAGAAATATGTGTAATATGATCGAATTTAACACCATTTGAACAGTAAAAAGTGCAGATCAGGAAAAAAAAAGAATAATTAAAAGTGTATTGGTGCAAATTTTCTTTATTGTGTTTATCATCAGTCATCTATAATGTTCTTGTGCCTTCTCATGATCCATATATGCCGAGACTAGATATTTTTTCATAATTAGTTAAGTCGGTGTTCATATTGGCTACATGTTTCTGTTTGGATATTTTGGACCATTGCTAAATCGCAGGCTGTGTTGTTTTTGATTGGAACGTTTGCAGAGCATTCGTCACTGACAAGTCTGAAAAATATTTCTTCTTAGACCCTAAAAAGTGTTTGTTTTGCCATGACTGGAGCTGAAATGCTGAATAGCAATAATAGCTAAATATGTTCCTACATGTACATAGTTTTGCTTTTCAATTTGCATTTACAATTTAATGTTCTGGGTTCTAATTAGCTAGAGAAAGTACAACTTCACTGCTTGAGGACACCCAAAAGACTCTCATACGCACTCACTTTAGAATTCACTTATCTCAGGGCCACAAGAAATGGATTACTGGTATATCATGGGAACCAGTACATCTCCAGGCTCCATGTCGTCGCTTCGTGAGTTCAAGTAAAGATGGTGATGCGCGTATATGGGACATCTCATTAAGGAAATGTGTTATTTCTCTTACTGGCCACACACTTGCAGTTACTTGTGTGAAATGGGGTGGAGATGGAGTAATATATACAGGGTATGCATTCTTTTCAATTGCCAGAAGTTTTAATGACCATTCTTGTAAATCCTTGTTCTTATTTACNGAGTAATATATACAGGGTATGCATTCTTTTCAATTGCCAGAAGTTTTAATGACCATCATTCTTGTAAATCCTTGTTCTTATTTGCTTTCTAATTGATAAGTACTTACTCTTTCCCTCTGACCCACCAAAAAATTTTACTTGACGAACTGACTTGCTAAATTGGGCTATTTACATGTCAGTATCAGATTCACAAAAGAATATATTGTTCACAACTAAAATTTCCTTCTTTCAAACATAATCTATCACATTTCTTTGCTCATTTGATCAATTGTTTCTGATTTTAGTATATAGACAAAAAGAAAATCCTATGGCTACGCATCTCTACCATAAACCATAAAAAGTACTACCATTGGCTTATTATGACCTAAAAAATTATGGCCGCATATCTTTCTTTTCCGTGAAATATCCACGGTGAATTACTGTAGNCTACCATTGGCTTATTATGACCTAAAAAATTATGGCCGCATATCTTTCTTTTCCGTAAAATATCCACGGTGAATTATTGTGGTGGACAAACTGCAGTGTTTTGATCAGTCAATTGTTGGTTCCGTTGAAAATCTAGTTGGCTTGCCTTCACAGAATTGTCCCCTGGTGGGCTTCCGAATAAAATTCCTTGGTTTTATGTTTTGGAAATTTTTTATTTTAGTATCTTTGACCTGATATTCAATGGGTTCCTTGGAAGTTAACTAATATTTGGTGGCTTTATTATCAACGCATATATGGTATGCTCTAATTGGATGATGACATCTTCCGTTCACATGCTGCAGATCTCAGGATTGTACAATCAAAGTGTGGGAAACTTCGCAGGGGAAGCTAATTCGTGAATTGAAGGTAAAAGAATACATCTTCCGGTAATTTGGTGTTATTGAGTTACCTTTCTTGCTTGCATAGAATTGCTAGATGCTGCCGTGTGTGGTCCATGGTCAGTATGACCAGTAGGTTTGTAATGTGGGCTACCCTTTAAGAAGTGGACCAGCTTGGGTTAAGCCCTATTTAACTTGCCTGTTTTGAGTGGAAACCAAGTTTTTATTGATTTGACAAAGGGAATACCATACTTTCAGTTGGGCTTTCCGGAATGTGCTTAACAAAAAATTGTGAACCATAGAGAATGCATGTAGTTATCAGGGTGGCAAAGTCTTTTTAAAGTTTTTCAAAATGCATATCTTGTGAATTTTAGATGCCCGTCTTGATTAATCTTGTCTTTTAGTAACATTGTCCTTTTGTGGCGTTTGCTTTAGAGACTCGCATTTAATGGTCAAGCCCTCTTACTCTGACGATGTTATTGATTTTAAACTAAGTGCTTTTGAGTTGTCTTCTGGTCATTAATGTTTTAGATGACTCTTTTTTTTGTGGGTGTAATGTTTTATCCATTCCCGAAATTGAATACCTAATTTCACTTTTAGCTCCTTTATTATAATTGCCTAAAGTCTACACCCCCAAATAACATGCAAAGTTGTGCTTGGTAATTGTGAGAAGTTAAAACTTTTCAAGGCTAATCATTACTAAATGATTTAGTTCTTTTTATAAGAACTTGATTAGCATCGATCATTTCTGCCGATGCCCTTGGTAAGTTCACTGCATTCCCTTGGCATCTAATACTGGTTGAAAATTCTGTGAAAATATTATTCATGCTTTTAGGGGCCTAATGTTGGACCGAATTGTTGAACACTCTGGACATTCTGTGTCTGCTTCTATTATGTTGGTGCTTTGACAAATCATTGAATAGTGCCCGATCATCCAACCAACCCGTATATTAGAATGCTAACCAAAGCACACCTGACTAATATAAGTCATGGGCCATGTCAAAACCCCTTATTGTTTCTTGCATGCTAATCATCTTTGATGCTTATTTGTTTGACTCGTCCTAGGGCACATCTGTTATGTTCGAGGTTTCAGCATGTTTCAGTAGTGCAAGAAAATAAATTGGCAAAGTGAAAAATGTTTTTGAGTTACTAAAGATCCTTTCTTTTTCCACAATGAAGTGGTGGTCCTGAAGAGTTTACCAATTATTGTAGGAAATGATCCTCTTGCATTCTACTCCAATTATTTTATTAATGGCCCATAACTGTTACATATTTCTTGTTTTCATATTCTTATTGAAGGTGATGGTTCTATTCCTAATTGCGTCTCTGTTGAAGGATTTTGGTATATATACTTTAAGGCGTTAAGTATCCTAATATTTAATTATTATCGAATACGTTGGAGGTGTATCCGATATGTATCCTCGAGTATTTGAAGAGTACCGTATCCGATACGGTATCGGATACGGATACGCCGACCTCGATGAAGTATACGTGCTTCTTAGACTTTAACTTTTACTCTCGATGCAATTGTTTCTTCCTTAATCTTTAACTTCTTGCTTAACTACTTTCTCTGATTTATTTTTAAAGGGCCATGGACATTATGTTAATTCCCTGGTAGAATATGTTCTTCGGACTAGTGCTTTTGATCATATCGGTAAACAATATTCATCTCCTGATGAAATGAAGAGGTAATTGTTTTTTATCTTAACATCGGAGAAAACCTGTTATGAAGTTGTATGTTACCAAAATGGACAAATTCAAGTCTTCTTGCAAATCAAAAGTTTTTGCCATAATTTTTATGTTTTTTGAGGTGCATTTACTTCATATTTTTGCATTTTACTTTTCTTTTTTCTTTTCTGTACAAAAAACCCGCCTTCCTTTCACTGTTGAATCAGATTGCTTTGGAGCGATATAAAAAGATGAAGGGCAATGCCCCTGAAAGATTGGTTTTAGGGTCTGATGACTTCACGATGTTTCTTTGGGAACCTGCTTTCAGCAAACATCCCAAAACTCGAATGACAGGTCATCAATAGGTAAGAGTGTTTGTTAACGCAATTAAGGGCATGAAAATGATTTTACTAAGTGATTTTTCAATGAACAGTGTTTAACCTTTTGACAAAAATCAAGTGTGATACATACAATCTGTATCAGTTAGACAATTAGGTTTCACTTAAAAAATGCCAAAATTTTAAGTTGAAGGCACTCACTTATCAGTTAGTGCAGAACACCTCACTGAATATAAATTCTAAAACTTATCTCAAATTGGACTAAACTTCCAATTCTTTCTAATCTTTTAACAGTATCGGTTCCTCTCAACTTGTCTTTCTCTCCTGCATAGCTAAGGTGTCCATGGCCTGGGCAGGCCATCTAGCCCACCCAACCCAGCCTTGTAGATCTAGGGCCCAAGCTAGAGCATAGGCTTATGGGATTGGGGATTGGGCAATGGGCAGTAATTTTGCCCTGATCAAGTTCTTAATGAGTCTGGGCTAAGGTGAAAAAATGGCATGGCTTGACCCTACCCCGCCTTGCTTGATAATATTTTTATAGAGATATATTAGAATTTTGCATGTAAGCTGGAAGATTTTGTATTCTATTGCTACAATAGACAATCAAATCTAGACATTTGTAAAGAAAAAGAACATGTTACTTTTTTTTTGGTTTAATCATCAAAAGGAAAAGAATTTCGTTTCCATCAAGCTAAAGTTCTTAGGTAAAATGAAGTGTTATATGGTGGCCTAGTGCGCTTGGGTCTAAGCCATGACATGCATGCAAGGGTTGCGTTTGGGCTGGGCACATCTAGCCTTAGGATGGCTAGGTCGGGTTTGTGCTTAGGCCAGTATGAAGTGTGTAGGTTCCTCAGGTTATGTGGCTCAGGTTCACTCTAGCCCAGCCTATGGGGACCCATGATATGAAGAAAGTTAGAGCAAAACATGGCACAAGGTGATAATAGAAGTACTGTTTTTATGTGTATAGTTGGGTATTTGTGCTGAGATTTCTATGGTATAACTGTAACTATTTGCACTTGATTTTTCTTCCAAACTCACATTTGAGTCTAGATTTTATTGCTTTCTTGCAGCTTGTGAACCATGTTTACTTTTCACCCGATGGGCAATGGATAGCAAGTGCCTCATTTGACAAGTCAGTCAAGTTATGGAATGGTATCACTGGAAAATTTGTTGCTGCATTTCGGGATCATGTGGGACCTGTCTACCAGATAAGGTTTACTTTTTACCTCGTCAATATGTCCACAAACATCTGCAATAAAGTTAATTATCATGTTTCATGTTGCCATACAGCTGGTCTGCTGATAGTAGGCTACTTTTAAGTGGGAGCAAAGACTCTACTTTGAAGGTATGGTGTATTTTATGCGTTCTAGTTTTGTGGTTCCTTCGTTAGTGAATCGTGTTGGGTATAACCCATCCTCTAGAGATATTATAAGTATGATCAGTGGAGGTATTGGCCCAGTATTTGAGTCATTACAAAAATATAATTGCATGGAAATGCAAGTGATGTGTTTTTTGAAATCCCCGATCATCGGAAGTGAATTGAGCAAAATTTCACGTGTTGGCATTTGGATTTTGTGTATGTGGATTTATTTATTACATTATTTGGTTAACTAGTGTAAACCTCATTGGGAGATGTGGAGTTTTTAATAGGAGAGTAATGTTAGTGTTGTTAGAAGACTTATTCTATAATTACTGATGTAATCACTATAATTTTGATTAGAGTATGATCTCTAATTTTGTGTTTCTTGACATAATCATTGTGAGGTTTCGGTAATCCCGTTGTATTCTTTCTTTCATCTCTGCATCACTTTGATATTAGTCTATAAATATCCTTTGGTATGATTTTTTCTTTCACATGTAAAGTTAAGTAACTTGACATTAGTCTAATATTTTCCTGCAGAGATACTGGGTTTAGATGAAATTGTCACTTAACTGTTTAGTAAAAAATTATTTTGTTGAAAATACCTATTGTGGGTTAGTCTAAGTATTCTTTTATGCATCAAACCTCAACTTTGGAGCATCAATTCATAATTTCACTCTCGCTTTGATTTGTTCCTATTGAAGAACTTGTCCTTGATTACTAATCTGAAATTTCTTATGTTATGTAGGTTTGGGATATCAGGACGCAAAAGTTGAAACAAGACCTGCCCAGCCATGCAGATGAGGTATATTTGCCTTCAAAACACCGACAATCATTTTTCACATTAAGATGATAAATTTTCTTTTCAATTTTGGAAGTTTTTTGTTGTTGACTGGAGTCCAGATGGTGAGAAGGTAGCATCTGGTGGTAAGGATAGAGTTTTGAAGTTATGGATGGGATAAAGTACACTAGAGGCAAAAGTTGCTTAGAAATACATGATGGAGATTAATAGTTAAACTTCTGCAGCTTCCATCAGGAGCTAGCATTGTAGATATTGTAACATAGAGATAATTATTAGGAGCGTTGAAAAGGATAAATAACTCAGGGCTAAGGTGCACAGAGTGGTCAGTGGAGAAGGCTTTTTTAATGGCATTTTTGAAGCAACATGCTCATGTCACTTGGTGCTGCTCTTCCACAAATTTGGCCATCCTGCAAGTCACGTTTTTTGGATAGTCTTGTGGTTATCGACAAAAGCTACGGAATTTGCAATTTGTGGTGGCCGGAAGATTGAAGTATGACGAACAATTGTTGGCATATGTTTTGATAAGATTTTGGCGACGAGGGTACAACAGTGTGTGAAGTAAGGACATATAATAGTTCATTGTTCTGTCACCTGAAAGTTGTAACAAATTTATGTGGCAGTATGATGCATTGGCTCTATTTTGTATGGTGGAAATTTTGATAATATTTGTTAGGTGCATTTTGGTCATTAATGAACATGAATCTATAGATGCTATTAGTTTTGTTATGAATTTCCCAAAGTGTGGTACATATTTTTTACCATGCTCATTGTGTGTGAGTGTCATAGTGATTTTTATTTGTGAACATGTAATTACAGGTAATGACATTCTTGGGTCTTTGTATTATGCCCATCGAGGTTACCCTTCACCGTGTGTTTGTATTGTTTATGACAAAAAAAAGTACAAAAAAAAAAGTTTGTAGATTTGAGCTTGGGAATTTACTTTTTCAAAGCTTCTAATATTTACTTTAAAATCTTGTTATTGACATAAGTAGGGGTGTGTTTCGATTCCGACGGAGTTGGAGAGCACCGACTCTGATTGGAGTCGAAGGGGATTTTGCCCTTTGACTTTAATTTTAAATTATTATGGCTCTAACTTTGACTCTGTTTCATCGAAGGTAGAGTAGAGTTTTAGAGTTGAGTCGGATTTAGGCCAATTTTTATTGGATTATATAAATTTATATAAATATATATATATATATATATATATATATATATATATTCATGCAAATTGAAATCAAGTATAATATGTTAATCTTTTTTGTCAATAGGTCTAGACGCAATCTTATTGGATCATTAAGAACACAAGATGTACTCTATTTGGTAAGTAGATCCATTGGATTCTTTTTCTTCTTTTTATTTCCTATTCTGACCATAAACTGAAAGACATATTTTGCTATTATAATTATCTAATTGTCCAGTTGAATATATCTTTTCCTCCATTTTTCATCCTATTATCTCTCTCTCTCTCACACATATATACACACACATGCGATCACAATAACAACCACACGATGTAAGTTAGGGAAAGAGATTTACGTGAGATTTTTTAGAATTTTGGTGGAATTTTTTAAGATCTGCGAGAGAGATTTAAATGAGAGATTTGCATGAGATTGTTTAGAATATGGATGAAGATTTTTAGCATTTGTCTTTATTTTAGGGTCCTTAATGTCTATTCTCACCCACTTGTCCTTAATGACCCAAAAAATATGCGTATTAACTAATTAACCTAAAATATCATAATTGTAGACCTGCCAAAAAAAATTCCCCCCTTTTTTTTTCCCTAACTTTTGGTTGGATTTGGACCAATTTTAAATGATATTTTGACCATTTTTTTTAACATTTGGACTAGTTTTTAAATTATATAATAGGAATTTAGGCCAAATTATAGATAGAAATTTTAAATTTTCATATAATAATATATTATATGATTTATAATTTATATAAAATTATTTATTAATTAAAATCGGAGTCTTGGAGTCAAAGTTTTTTCAAAAATAATTTCAGACTTTGACTCCGTTAAATTCCACCGTAGTTATAATCAGTGTCAAATTTTCTATTTTTTACACACCTTAGACAGGAGGTTTATATACTAGACTATATAACCAATAACGTCAAAAGAAACTGTATCAAACATCGAAAACGCACGCGTTATGTGCATCCAAAATAATACTTAAGTAATATAATAATTTTAAGTCTTATTGAAAGGTTATTTTTAATTAGTCTATTAAGTCCTGAGAAAAGAGAGGTGAAGCCAGAGAGATGGCTGGCTAAGATGTATAGTTAACTGTGTTTATGTAAGATAGATCATTGAGAAATCAGAATCTTGAGCTGGTTGAGTTAAGTGAGCAGTTAAGAAGAAAGCAAGACAACAAGTGGAAAGAAATACTCATCCTCACCCTTATGGACTCGAAAGGAACTGCCCAGAAAATTCAGGAACAAAAGGTGTTGGAGAAAGCTACATGCTGAAAATGATGAAACATTCTTAACTACATTTCTTTAGCTCATTTGTATGAACAACTAGTATTTGACATAATTATACGGACAACCCTTCATATATTAAAAATAAAACTAAGAATGCAATGAGAATACTCGTAACACCGCTTCTTCGACCAACAAACATTAGTATTAACAGGCTGACATCAACCAAATGATTCGAACATTGCGACGAATGCCTCTCCTAAGGTTAGACTAACATTATAAAAGACTAGGCCAAGGTACACAGTGTTGTCACAAACAGTCAAAATTTCCTGCTATTCGAGAAGAATGAAGCTGATATTTCCATGGTCTCAGACTTACAGAAGTTAGTGCCAGAGTGAATGAGTGAATCTTGATCTCTATTCCTGATCTACGACCACTCTGATGACTCAATTGAAACTATTGGCAGAATAGAGCCAGATATTATCAAATGAAATTACAGAAGCACAACATTTCTACTTTGGATAGGTCACGAAAGACAAAATGCTGGCTATGTATTTCATACAGCTAGTTATATTATACAACAGAAGGAGGCCTTTAATACTAGCAAATATGAAGTTTAAAACAAGAAAAATGAGGGACACACACAATTCATCTTTATTTGCTAAGCATCCAGTAAATACATATTTAGACACGGAGGAAGTTCTTCTCCTTCAAGCTCTCAACAGTATCCTTTAGGCTCACCTCGAAAGGAGTGAAGTTAATCCCTAGAGTTTTTGCTTTCTTATTCAATACTTGAAAGTTTGGCTGAGAAGTCTTTTTATCGTCATATCTGCAACAGATATAAGATGTATGTAACTGAGATCCGATGATGAATCTAAAACTGTTCTACGCCCCAAAGCATACTTTTGAATACTTTGGGCAAAATGTTATGCAATACTATTCAATCTTCAGTATCCATAATAATAACCCTCATTACGACTAATACTATTAGAATATCTGCTAAAAAAACNCATACTTTTGAATACTTTGGGCAAAATGTTATGCAATACTATTCAATCTTCAGTATTCATAATAATAACCCTCATTACGACTAATACTATTAGAATATCTGCTAAAAAAGCCATGTTTTTCTCATACAACTCAAATATATCACCTTAGACCAGATTGCAGAAACATGTTTAGACTATTATCTATTGAATGGCTGGCCAAAGTTAAGTTGGATCACTTCTCTGCATGTTTGGCTTCTGGTATAACTCTGTATCTTATAAAACCTCTGGCGATGTTAAAATTAAACGAGTCTCTATTTGCATAAGGCGGCATCTAATTATATGGTTGAGTAACATATTTAACCACTTGAGTTTTTAAAATGGGTTGGTGGAACTTTAAAACTTTTTTCTCATTTAATAAATAAAAAGTTAAATTGGATGAAACCGGTGAAATCAAATGCTAACTCCCATTTCTTATTGAATTAACTGATCAACTTGCTGTCAAAAATTTATTTTGAATTTGATAATCTCACAAAAGAAATCAATATATAGTTACCCTTAAAGCAAAACACACATGTAAACATACAAGTACCTTTACCTCCACCATATAAAAGTAAATCCAAACAGAAGGCCCATTATATCTAAAAGTTAAACCAAGTAGTTTTAATATATAGTTAAACAGCGCTGTTGTCGAACGTTAGGGTTTGAGAAAACACATAGAAATTATTTAAAGATGGACCTTCAGTTTGAAAATAATCTCGTGTTTGTAGGATGATTTCTCCCTACACTTACACGACTCATTTGTATCATAAAGATAAGAGGAAGCAAGCCTTCACTGAATATTCCGACATATTCCAGAAACAACAACTATTACAAAATGTCCAACCAATTCTTAATCTTCTGTATGAATTATGAGCTTCATTCTCATCACAATTCAACTACCATATTACTCTACAAGATGGTATTGAATTATCAAAAAGAGTTGATTCACTGCAATTGGATGCTTCTACATCAAAATAAAATTCAGAAAGCTAAAACAGTAGACGCAGGGCGGCCTATTGAACTTCGATTATCAAATGTAATTTAATCAAATTTATTTTGGCCACGCACCAGTTTTTCGACAGTTATCAGATGCAAGTATCATGCTTATTTTCTTGATTTAGGAAATACAAAGTCCAATAAAAGAATACATCAGTGACAAATGCCAAGCCAAAGAACACACGATCTACATAATAATACATAAAGCAACCAACTAGCTTCTATTAAAGAGATACTAGAAGTGCACATGTATAAAGCATTTGTATTTGTATAAACCAATTAAAAACTTGGTCACATGAACCTCCATGCAAATTTATAGGGGGAAACCTTACTTTTCAGGAAGGGCAAGAGCAGGGTAGAGCCCACGCAAAATCTTCAGAGCTTCAGAGATGTGTGAAACTCTTTCAACTAATAAGTATCTCCCATTAGCTGAAGGATTTTCAAAACCTTGAATATGTGCATCAGCAACATCTCTAACATCCACCCAACTAAAAGTTGTGTCTGGAAATGTTTCAACCCCTACATCAAATAAACCCTCAACTGTTGACACCAAACAAAATCACCAGACAACAGTGTATTTTGAAAGAGGAATCTCAGTTGTTGGCCATTGTAGGCAATTAGAACTCATGAGGTAATATTCCTGTGATTAATCTATAAGAAATTATGATTGAAGGTATGTCCTGCTCTGTGATAGAACATGTAAACTTGGTCTTTAAATGGTCCAAGAGACCTCAATTCCTAGGCACAATGTTTCAAAATTTTCAAAAATGGTATTGATTTGCCCAAAAAAAAAAAAAAAAAGACTTTTCCTTGGATCACTTCCAATTACGGTTATAAGAAAAGTCCAATAAGACAACTACATGGTCCGATTTACTACTTGTGTAACTGATATGCAAATCAAAAAATTCTGAATTCCTGCCAGGTCAAAATTCGGGGATATTTCAAAAATGATGTACAATAACAATGAGACACGACGAAGCTAATGAGATGAATGACTGGAAATACAAGGAAAGAAAGGATATCAAATGTATGCATCTATGGAAGGTTATAAGTGGTACCAATTAAAAATAAGATCAGAAGAAGATGAGTTAACCAATGCAATGAAGAAAGATTTTTATATTCTTACAAAAATAGTACTTTCTGATTCAAGTTTGAAGGTGCCAAAAGGAAAGAAGAATGCCAAAAAATGAGTTTGAGGCTAAAGGACAAGATTTCCACAGATTAAACTAAAAATATTACTTGGCATGAAGTCAACTAGAGAAAGGAGAAGACCGGTTGTCGATGTTATACATCCCACAAAGTTATATTTGTATTTGTTGACTTGAGTAGTATCTAAATTCTAAATTTTAGAGCTTGAAAATATAGTAAAAGATGCACGATACTATATAAAATTATCAACTAATCAGTCAAAGCGGAAACCAACTTAATCCCCAAAGGTAGCATCCTTTTACTTCCTTGGCACATCAAGAGACAAGGGTGATGAGAAAAGGGGCATATATTATTAGGGAACCAATAAAGGCAAAATCAACATCAGAATTTTATCCATCATAAAAAGAAAAAAGAGATTGGGAAAATATGCAATGCACCACCTACAGGTCATGAAGATACAATCGGCATAGTCAAATGTCAAGGGTACACATATTAGTGAGCATGGGTTGGAAAAATAGAACGAGTTATTTCCTTCATGAGAATGAATGATTCTCTCTCTCTAACCCATGATTCTCTCTCTCTAACCCCATTCCCCTCTTTTCTCCCGTAAGCGTCGGGCGAATGAGAACCGATCAAAGCGAGGACAAAAAGTATGCCAAGTACTTATTTACATTACATTATATTATCAATCGACTAGGCAACAATCTACAAAATATATGGCGATATAGGAGCTTCGATCGACATAATCCATTCACAGTATAGAGAAATGTTTCTTAAGTTTCTAGCTCTTTTGAGAAGCCCATATTTTACCTCGGTTTTCTATCTCTAATATGTGTTTATAGTCAAATCTTCACTTGATGTTGAAGCACCAATGCAATCAAAAAACATGTGTTTCCCTTATTTTATCCCGTGCTCTCCCTTTTCTTTCCAAAGGACTCAATGGAGGGATTGTTGGAAGTTGAATTTTAACTGGTCACAAATTGCGATGTGCACAAAGAGGCATTTAAGCACAAATTTAGTTGCAAAGTACATGTTCAAATGTCCCTAATGAAATTAAGGAAGCCCAAATTAAAATGTTTATGTGTTGAAATGTGTCACAAAAAAGAGTTTACAAGTTAACAAGTCAAAGTTGACCATAACCGCACACATATCACATGAAACCACATCGGAAAAAGCAAGAGAGGACAGGCAATCTTAGCTTTAAATAACTGCAGAGTGCCGTTATGATGGCCGATAAAGGTCTAATGATGCGGGAGTGGGACGTACAGAACATTGCATAATGCCATAATGTAATTGGAAACTAGAGATATGTATTTATTTCACTTGCCACCCTTTCAAATATTAAACATACACATATTTATTTCCAAAATAGTACAAAATATTTTAACAGCTTAGATTAATTTCTCATTTTTTTAAGTCACTGACATAGTGAAAACCCTTGCCACTTTCAGTTTTTCACTACTATTGATAATAAATGAAAAAAAAACAGACTGAGCTTGTTTTTCAGGTGCAAACAATTCACAATGTAACTGGGGCCATTATGGCCCTCCACGATTGTTACACTCAGTCTCAGAGCGATTACAGCACCATAACATCCATTATAGTCGTGATTTTTTTTTTTCTAATCACCATATCCAGCCGTTGCGATACCGTTAAGTAATAATCTTTACAGGGCACAAGGACCGTGTTTATATCAATGATTATCATACTCTCTCCAACCAAAATCTATCAACAGAGTTGACTCCCAGTGAGATGGAATAGACAGTTATAGATATAATTAAACTCATTAAATCCAGAGGTATGACAAAGCCTTTTGATAACAATGAACTGCTATGAAGTGGTTTCACGGGATTCAGTTTTCTACTAGTAATCTAGTACCCTTATGTATGAAGATAATAAATTCGTCTAAAGCCTTAATCATAGATTTAGTGAGAAAGAACTATGAAAATTTGATCTTCTTCACTCAAATTGACGAAGATCCTGCTGTTTCGTTGTAGAAACTGTTGTAAAGACTCTGAGAGTAGTTAGCATATTTAGACTTAGGGGTATCTTAGTCATTTGTTTTCTTTTATGTTGCCCTAGTTTAGACTGTTTGTTTTCCTTTTGCCCTACTATATCAAGACCTCTTATATGTAGTTTTTGTTCTGACTAGTTATGCCTCAATAATATTTATTTCTTCTACTTTCTTTCCTTTTTTATTTGATCAAAGTTTACAAAGACCTCAACTGTTCAATTTCTTACCAAACCAGCAATCTGCCCAATCAAAGTTTTTTGGAGGGAATGATAAGATGAATACTTTGTCAAAAATGTACTAGGGATACCTACTCTTTGTCAGATGAACAACTGGGTATTCCTTATCAAGTTTTGGCCTCGTTTATCAGACAATAAATATTTCTGTCCGGAAGAAGGCTAAGTCAATATTAAAAATGTTACAGTAGTTCAGCAAAATATAAATCATATGCATTCATGACATGGTAGTAGAAGTATACCGTTCATGAGGTCGAAAACTATGGCCACGCTGAAACTAAGAGTAGATTGCAAGAGGGGACCGATCACAACTCCAGGATTAATTGCAATCATGTCAACACCATGCTCTTTTGTGAAATCCCAAGCAGCCTTCTCAGCCAACGTCTTTGAAAGCACATACCAATGCTGATGGCAACAAAAATTGATTAGTATATCTTGAAAAAGTACCTCAACACAAACATCAAGTAAGCCAAAACCCAAAATAAATTCAAAGGGTGAGTCCCTTTAGATGACTTTAAAAGAACATGCTGCTAGTTACATCTTCCAACCAATCATTGGGAAAGGTAGATGGTATCAATTTTAAAACATGGAATGTACTTCGTAAGTTGTTTAGTTTGAATGCAATCTATGACTATAATGAATACGAAATATCACACAATGCTTATTCCTAGTACAGGAATCTCCAACNGGGAAAGGTAGATGGTATCAATTTTAAAACATGGAATGTACTTCGTAAGTTGTTTATTTTGAATGCAATCTATGACTATAATGAATACGAAATATCACACAATGCTTATTCCTAGTACAGGAATCTCCATGTAATATGCCCGTACGATGATCCTGCTGTGGCTGACACTAAAACACAGAGTGAGGGGATCAACCAGTCAAGAGCACATATACCCTTACGAAAACAAACTCTACAGAAGAGGCACTAACTTCAAAACTGAAGGCATGATAATATGATATTCATGGTCGGCCACCTTTGTCGTAGCATGCCATAGAACCTTTTTCTAATCATTGGCAGAGGTGAATAATGTCTAGGTAGTCCTTCATATTAAGTCAAATCAGTTGTGCAATGGACACTAATCCTACTTGCATTTGTCCAGTAATGTGCTAACAGCAGTCGGCGATAAACAAATTTCCTTTTGACTGTCCAAGAGAAGCATCATCCTTGATTCTAGAATAAACCTAAAAACATTCCATTAGTAATTTACATAAGATATTGGATTCCACTCCAATAGGATTGCAATAGAAAAGTTGAGAATTTAAGAAAAACATTCCGGTGAAAGAACTTATGAAGTGAAGCTACTCTTCATGCAAGAGGAAGCAAATAATCATAACAAAACAAAAAACAAAAGGGGCGTGGGAGTGTTCAATGTTTTTCACATTCATGTCCAGTTTAAGCCAAAATACTGATCCAACTTAGATGTACATCAAGAATGACTAGATGACTGGAGTTCTCATATTTCTTGCACAATGATAATGGCGAGTAATAATAAGTATTCACAGTGCTGTATTTCTGGAAGAACTGCAAGAACAATAGTCCGAAGGTGGCTTGGATACACACCTTCAACTCCTCACACAATAATGGATCTGAAAACCATGTCTCATCAACTACATATTCAGTATTCTGACGTCTTCGGTCAAATTCCATAGCGGCAAGAGAAGACGTTAAAACCACCCTTCTGATGGATGGAACTTTAATGCACGATCTTAGAACATTAAGTGTTCCATTCAATGCAGGATCAATTAATTCTTCCTGAAATACAGAGCAACAAGAGAACGGAACTAAGTTAATAATCTTTTTTTTTTTTTAAGTTAATAATCTCACTTCATGTTTTAGTTTAACATGTACTATAGTCATTATCTTCATTCATCTTCTGAAAAAAAGTAGGTGTACAAGTAATTTTGCTCTTAATTGTCTGGCTGAGAGATATGGAAATTTTTCCCTTGCACCATTGTATCAAGGGAACTAGCTCACGTGTCTGTGATTCATTCCGACTATAGAATTTGATAGAAGGTTTTACAAAATTATCCTCCTCCTTCTTTGGCTTACCAAGAGTGGGATGAGATTTAAGATGACACCCCAGAAAATCTATTTCCACACCCAGCAGGAAAAAAAACAGACATCTCCAACATCTATA